CCTTCTGGCCCTTGAAATGCACTAGTTCCTACTCTGCAGCCTTCAGTCATCCAGGTGTGGATCACATGTGGAGACCAACTTCTGCTCACCCAAACAATGCCCTCTCTTCCTCTCAACAACAATCATCTCCCTTCCCCTGGCTATATTCCCTTCATGTATGCTGACCCCTGCCCTCAGTAATGCCCGTGCTCTGGTGGCTGTCCTCAGGAATGCAGTTTTCCTCAGGAGAAGGGCAGCTAGGAGAACCAGGGGCATTACTGAGCTGGGATGAAGATACTGCAGGAAGGGAAGAACGGTCAATGATTGCTGTCTTTTTTCCTGTATCAACAAGCAGATCATCAGTTGAGGAGCTGCAGAGTGGGAGGCAAACTAGATACTGGGTTGTCAGGAGACATTACTGAAGGGGCAAGGGGAAACAAAGCACTCAGCTGGGGGACTGAGGAGTTTGCTAAATACAGGAACCACTAGAGGCCAGCTAGTGCCAACGCAGCCCTAATGGGGAAGAAAGGCACCAATTCGGGCTGGGTAGTATGGATGTACTAAATTGTTCCTACAACTATTTTTTCCTATGTTACCAACAGATTTCCCTAGTGTAAGCATGTCCTAAGATTCCAGCATAAGTACTCAGACTGAGGGGGGAAAAAAAGATTGAAGTCTTTTATACGATTTTAAGTTATTCTCACTTGCACACACCTTTCCAAAGATCATATTAGCAAAACAAGGCTACAGGAAAAGGAGAAATTGCTCTAAAATCCTCTGTGAGCGTTCAAGTGTATGATTATGGAAACCCAAAAAGAGTGGGCAGCACTGCGCCCAGAGACCTGCCTAGAAGAAGTATGGAAAGACAAGGCTTTCGGACAGATCTCAAGGTCTGAGCATGCAACTGCAGCTCACTCCATATGGTCAAGTCTACACTACAATATTAAGTTGACCTAAGTTATGTTGACATATAGCCACCGCAGTAATTGAATCAGTTTTACATGTCCACACTACGCTTGTTGTGTCGGCAACGCGTGTCCTCACCAGGAGCACTTGCACCGATGTACCTGGGGCATTGTGGGATGGTTTCTGAAAGGCAACAACAGTCGATGTAAGCAATGCAAGGTCCACACTGACACTGCGTCAACCTAACTACGTCGACTTAAGTGCTACATCTCTCGCGGAGGTGGAGTTATTAAGTCGGTGGAGTGAGTGAGTTACTTCAGTAGTAGCTACATTTTAGTGTAGACGCTTACAGAGTTAGGTTGACATAAGTTGCATTAAGTCAGCCTACCTCTGTAGTGTAGGCCAAGCCTATGTATTCAGGAATTTGCCATGCCCTTCTCTCTTATCCTCTTAATTTGTGACCAGCTCATGTAGCTACCCTTCCTCAGACCCTCTCCCTAAAAGATCTTTCTATGGGGAAGGGAGGGGAAAATAGAGATGCTCTGGGCCAGCAATTTCAAAATAATACTGTCTGCAGAAGAAATGGAGAACAGCCAGGTATGTAAAACAAAATGTTTGGTTTAGATAAGGATTGTTCAATCCCTGTCAAACAAGTTTGGGAAGTGACGGTGTGTAGCTTAACGACCAAGAGCCAGCAGAGGCAGAATCAAACAAGTAACATGTTTTCTCTTCAGCGCAGAAGCTTTTTATTACAAACACCAAGGCACTTTTTATAGGCAGATTAAGGCAATACGGGATCCTAGGCCCACACTTAAACAGAAACCACAGTGCCTCTACCCATGCTTGGTGTGATAGCAATAAAGGCCATCCACAATAGCCATCAGCTAAGCTTAACGAGAACCTAAAGCCATCCGTTTCAGCTGGCAGGGGTCCTCTCTGCTCCAGACCATCACACTGACAGATCAGAGGGAGAACTCAGCCCCCACACAACTCGACAGAGGACCTGAGAGAGTGGTAACAGAGGCCTGGCCCCTCCCTTCTCCGGCCCCACCAGAGCCTCTTGCTGGGGTGGGGCTTCCTCAGGCCATCAGGTTTCCAGAGTTAAGCCACTATGGTGCTTGTTTTTTTTGAACCTCAGAGTTAAGTTATGGCCAAACAAATCCAAGTAAACACATCTGTAAAGGCTAGCTTGGATGCTTCCTAATCGTCTGTAGATTACAACGATTTCTAGTTTACCCTATGCTGCTGTCTAGCAAAAATGAAACAAATCCTTGCTTTCTGGTGAGCAGTTCATTGGATTCCATCGCGGTTACCACTAGTTTAATTGACACCGTTCATATTCAAACTGTGCGACAGCTTATTTGTTCTACTCAGAATGTATAAAAGAAAGGAATTGCATACAAATACAACTGGACAAAATGAGTGGTTTTAGTCACCTGTTGAGCAGCATGGCAGCATTTGCCATGTGGTTTTTGGTGTGATGTGATTTAAGAAGAGCACATAAATAAAATTATGTAACCAGACTGTTTGCATTGAAATCCCCTTCCAATCCCTGTCAGGCCTTGCTCTACTTCCACACTATATAACACGGAGTAGTTTCACCACCTGATTATGACTATTTTAAATTAGGTAAAATGTGTTTTACATGTTGATACTTTTAAGTAATCGGTTTCTAATTTAATGAAAATAACCCTAGTCTAAACTGTCTGTAAATTTAAATTTATAAATAAGCAGCTTTTTGGCTGAACTGCATTAAAAGTACCTAAAGTCTCAGCTCTCTACCCTCCTTTTTACTACCTCATTGTGTAAGTGATTTAAACATTAAAAAAAAAAAAAAAAGTTTTTAGGCTCAGAAATTATGTGCCAAGTTTCAGCCCCAAGTGGACTGTTACTAGCGAGTTACAAATCCATTAAATGAAATATATGTATTACTTATGATTCATATTCCTCACAGACTTCACTGGCCTCCTGCCTCATGTCCTTTCACTGTGCCTCATACTAAAATTATTTAAAAAAAAAAATTAGACTTTGGATTGCCTGATTGCAGGTTTTTTCTTTATCCAGAGGTAGTTTTGATTAACATTTCTAATCTGCATTTGGCTAATCCCTACACTTGAAAATCTGCACACAAAAAGGCAGCCTCTGCAATTTTTAGCAATGGTTTAATATCAGCATGCTGGAGTGAACTATCTTGTTAAGATTTTTTTCTTTTTACCTATTATACCAGACAACATTTTCAGTGCAAATACAAAAACTCAACAACTGTCAGAGTAAATTAAAGCGCCTTATTTTTGTCCTTTTTCTTTGTGTATTCAATAAATTATATAAGCAAGTCATTTGCAGTTGGACTCCTACTCAGCAATATGAATTAACGAGGTTCTACTGTGTTAACCCACCAAACCCAGATGCCATGCTGTCTCTGCTTTCCCAGTGTCTGGCTGAGAGAGGAACGAATATGAACAATGGCTGACTTGAAGCATATGCTGGACAATAAAAAGGTGATGCAATCCATTCCCAGCATAACCAAACGCCCTCTTTTGTTATTTATGATGTAGTATTCCCTAGAAAATTGGGTGGCTTATCTGTAGCCTCATTTCACAGCAATACTTCATGCATCATGTGAGAATTATTAAGAGGCTTGGCTGAATGAACGTCCCTCAGGATTTTCCTTAACATGTTGATTGCCTTCCACCCTATAACATCTGTGGAGAAACTTCTTACTAACAACCCACTTAACAGGCATTATAAACTCGAGCATAGGGGGGGATTGCTAAACATTATATCCTATAGCTCCAGGAGTTCACTTACACCAATACTCACTAAATCCTAGATTACACTCGTGCAGAAAAGCTTATAAGGTAGAAGTGCTTCTAAACACAGTTAGCCATTTCTCTAACCAACATAGAGAAGGAAAGATTATGTTTGAAGACTATACCATGCATTAGTCCTCTTCCTCAGTACATATCTATATATGAACCCTAGTATATACAGTACAGTTTTGTAAATGATGTATAGGTAGACACACGAGATCCAGCTTCTGCTCAAATTAGAATGTGGATTTTATCCAAATGGAAGAGGAAAATATCACAAACAAAAGCTGTTGAGACATTTCCCCCCCCCCCCCCCTTCTTACTTGAAAATACGTAGCAGGCTTCTGGCTAACAGTGTTAGTGCTCAGGTAGACACCAAGATCTATGAACTCTACAACCAATGACTACCAATTGCTGGCACAGTTGCAGCTAGTCAAAAAGTAGATTTTCCCCCCCCAGCAGATTCAATAAATATCAGCCCTAAGTATCTTTGAGGGAGCTGAACTTACCTCTTGCCTGCTTCCTTCTCTTCCTCATTTAGCAAAAAGTCTCAGTTGCCTGTAGACTTGAACTGTTGCATCGGTATAGAAACCCATGTCTTTGTGTGTGTGTGGGGGGGGGGGGGGGGGGGGGGGGGGGGAGGGGGAGAGAGACTCTAGGAGAAAAGAATTTTTTAAACACTCTTTTTAGAGCCCTCTCACCTAGCTGTCCTATGATGTCATTGATGATTTGCACACCTCTGCTTGGCTCAGATACACTCCACCCTATTCAATGACATTTAGACAGTTGGAAACCTTCACATTTTATAAAATATTTTTCTGTGCGGATATGAGCTGTTGGTAGACAGTGCCCTTTCAACGTTGATATTCCTATCTGACACAATAGCCAGTATTGCCTAGCTGTCACAAATGGCACAAGATATATTTTCAGAGAGATTAGGGACAACTTTGAAGGTTAATCTGATTTTACACATACACACAACAAAGGTCCCCTCTTTATCTTCACCATCATACATCCTTGGGTTAAAGTTATAAATGACTCTGGGATGGAGGAAAGGAATAGTATAAGTTAGGATAAATGAAAGCCTTGCCTAAAGGCTATGGTGTTAAACCAAAATAACCCATTGTCAAGGGACTAAAATGCATATTCTTTATTGCATGTAGCCAATCTGGGGGAAGGAAGACTGTCAGAAGTATGCTTCAGGGGAAACTACACACAGCTGGTGACACCTCAGTCTAAACTGTATGCCATTTGCTAAAAAAATAAAAATAAAAAATAAATGGAATATTACTTCATGTCTCTTACCTTATCACTGTCTAGTGTATTCTGGGAAGTTCGTGATGCAATTGAAATAGTATCAGGCTGGCTGCTGCCATCTCCCTGACTGTCCAGGTCCTCTCCATCTCTGCAAACATACAATCCAATTGTCAGAATTTGGTTAGCACATCTGTTTCAGAGGCTGCCAGTTCTTATCTGCAACCCTAATGGAAGGCATCCAGATATTACAGCAGTGGGTGCCTAAGACAGAGCAATTGATGACCTGCCTTGCACCCCAACATTTGCTTAATTACTTTGCTTTATACTGTAATATATAATGAACTGAGTTAACTATCTTTGTCCAACTTAAGCTGTATAAAAATACAGCAGCAGCCAACAACAAGGAACCTTGGTAAGAGACCAACTCCCCGCCCCCGGTAGCCATTTCACCAAAACTGCCAAGTGTGAAGTCTGGTTTAAACAAACAAGGAACTTGAGTAAAAAACACGTACTGTAAAAGTTTAATGAGTACATCTGGTCTATGCCCACCTCCTAGGCTGCTGAACATAACACTGACTTCAAACAACACATCCTTTTAGAACAGCACCACATAAAGATGCAAGGGAGCATTTAGAGCAGAGATTTGAACATGTACAGCACTGTGGTCAACTGGAGCTTAATTTACAAGGACCACACTTGAAGATAACACTAGCCAACGACGACTCCTATCTTGGCTTAAGTCACTGAATGCACTGAGAACACTGTGTTCCTTACAGAAAATTCCATCATTGCAGTTAAAATATGGCCTTCATGATGGGGCACTTAAAAAATGATCCCCATCTTCTTAATAAGTTATTCAAATTCTAACCTCCTTCCTTTCTGCTTAGTTGTTGGAGCTGTTTTGGGGATGTGGATTGGCTCTTTCAATGCTCCTTTCAGATGAATGGTTCTTTCTTGTATCACTTCCCGGATGTGCTTGATCCAGTCTTGTTTATTCTCTATACTGGAAGCCTTTAATATGCAAACAAACAAATGGACCATTATGGTTAAGAAGGCCTGTGTTCATAGTAAACCACACATACACACAGGGGAAAAGGCGTAAGTATGGTTTCACATATTTATTTTCAAAAATACTTTTAATGGAAAATTCCAGCTAGCTGTTCCCATTTTCAAATTCCACTATTTTCATTACCAATACTGTTTTATCAAAATATAAATCATTTCAGCTTTGCTTACTATATGTTTTCATAATGAAGCACCCTGAAACCCTAACCAAGGTCATGGCCCTATTGTGTTATAGCCTCTGTATGAATACATTGCAAGACGTGCGCGGTAATAGCAGCTTACAAATTAGTAACTGAGTAATAAATTCTGAGTGAAGTCTAACTGCATTTAAAGATATGCTGCCATTTCATAGAAAACCAACTCTTTTATTGAGATATTTAAGCTTCTGTGTTATGTTTTCTCTACACTTTTTCCATTTCTTGATGTTTGCATGAGAACAGGGTCATTGTTTAAGGGCCAGATTCTCAAGAACTGCCTCTAATTGAGCACCTGCATTTTTGTGGGTACAAACGCTATTTATGGCCACAAAGAAGGTCACTTAACATCTCAATTGAGCTGTTTGCAAGTGCAATTTATTTCAGACACAAAATTATAGACAAGGCTGAGGTCCTACTAAAATTTAGTTTCAAGCATTAGCCTGCAGCTCCTGCTTCCTCTCCCATCAGAATCATAAACCTCTAATACATCATAATTGTTTATTTAATTATATAAATTACATAAAGTTTCACAATGGGACTTCAGTTGGGGAAAAAGCTGCAGGAACAGCTGAACTGCAAGGACAAACGTTTCGTTTTTTGTTAAAACACAAACCAAAAAACCTCACCCTCCTCAAAAATAGAAGACAGGGAGATTTGTTTCCTTACAGTTTTCCATGAAGTGTAGCTCCTTTTGCAGCTACAATATCTGAAGCGCTACAAAGCTCCAACTTCGACAATTCAGAGTTACAGAGACATCTTTGTACAGAACAAGAAAAAAAAATTTGGCAGGGGCTAGTAACAAATGTCTGAAAAATAAAATGGCAAGGATGTCTTAAAATATCAGACACAGTTTTAATCAGATTATAAAAATATTTTCCAAAGAAAACCGTAAAAAACTTTTAAGATGTTGCAGGTAGCTGAGCCTTTCAAAACTTTACCTCAAAAAAAAAAAGGAACAAGAAACAAGTTGTTAAGTGTTTGAAATATAAATACAGGAGACCAGCCTCTGACTGGGTAGCTGCTAGTTGTGCCAAAAAAGGTTCGGAAGAGAGCTGGTGGACGGAAATGTTGAGTTGTCTGCTCTAATATCAATTTAGTGCCAAGGGCTTTTATGGTGCTAGACTTTCACATAGATTCTTTAATTAATTTCCACGTGGCAGTTGTTAAAAAAAAAATGCAAAACCCTTTTGTTGTCAGTCTAGTCATTCTGGACTTGTCTGATTTCTCACCCTCCAAACACAGTAAGAGTGAGTTTTTGTGTGGTTTCCAGGCCAATGCCTTATGACTAAAATTAAGTGCCTGTTATATAACATTTCATACTTGGATTTAATAATCAAGGGTTTTAATCCTCTTCACCCAATCAAGGGATGGATTAAGAACACAGCAGTTCCTGTGATAGCCACCATATGCTGTTACCATACAAATAATCCCTCAGATACTCCACTATAGGGTAACTGTCCTGTTGACTTAAAATAAATTTAAGCAGCAAATCTGATAACTTTTTGTTTTAAATTGGCAACCGCTGCATCCACCAACATTTTATCTCCATCAGAAGACACAAGAACTCCCGCCAGTCACTCTCTTCCCATCCAGCCTGCTCTGCCTGGGGCAGACTCCCCTTACTCTGAGGCACTCTTGCCTCCCTCCCTAGTAAGGGAGCTCATAGCAATTCTGAATTGGTTACAGTAACTCCTCCTGAAAAATGCTACTTTAAGCAAAATGATGTTAAGTGAATCCAATTTCCCCATAAGAATTAATGTAAATGGGGGGTAGAGGGGTTAGGTTATAGGGAAATTTTTTTCGTCAGACAAAAGATGTTACAGACACATACACACACACACACACACAATAAGGTTTAAATAAACAGTGTAATACAGTACACCTTGGTTGAGGTGGTGAAGTCAGAGGGTGGAAGAGGGTGGGATATTTCCCAGGGAATACATTGCTGCCAAATGATGAACTAGCACTTGGCTGAGCCCTCAAGGGTTAACGCATTGTTGTTAATGTAGCCTCACACGCCACGAGTGGAGGGAGGAGACGCAATAGACACATGGCAGTAGCTGCAAACATCCCCTGCAGAAACTGAATGTGATGATGAACCCACGCTATCCCATTGGAGTGCACCACTCCCTCCAGTTTCCAAAGAACCGGTGTGTGTGTGTGTGTCTGTGTGTGTGTCTGTGTGTGTGTCTGTGTGTTGCACATTGCCCCTTTAAGTACACTGACCCCACTCTAAGTACATTGCCTTTTTAAGTAGATGAGCAAGTTGAGACAGCAGCTGCTGGCAGCAAGCTCCCTCTGTCCTGAGCCCTGTTGTGCCCCCCCGCCAACTCTGTGGAGATGGGGTACAGGAGCGGGGGGTCAGGAGCAGCGGGAGGGAAACACCCTGACATTAGCACCATCCCCCTTCCGCACAGCAAGCAGGAGGCTCCGGGGAGCAGCTTCAAGGCAGAGGGCAGGAGCAGCACACGGCAGTGGGGGGAGGGACACCTGAACTGCCAGCAATTGATAGCCTGCTGGGTGGCTGCCGCACAGGGAACTTAGGGGAGCCGGGAGCTGATACGGAGGCTGCTGGGCCACCCTGGTTCCAAGCCCCCACCAGCTAGCTCCAACGGGCTGCTCTTCCTGCAAGCAGTGTACAAGCAAGTGGCTGTCAAACATCGTTATAAGGGAGCATTGCGCAACTTTAAACGAGCATGTTCTCTAATAGATCAGCGACGTAGCAACAAAACAACGTTAACCGGGATGACGCTAAGTGAGGAGTTACTGTATTACTTTATACTGTGCTACTATCCGCTACTTTGTCCCACTCCTGCATTTGAGACCTCTCAGGGCCAAATTACCCAATATTCTGATCGTTAGCTATTCCCACACCCACTCTCCAAAAGAGTATTTTTCCTACCCATGTGAATATTTCTATTTTTGTAACGTGAAAGATTTCCCTCCTGTCAACATAGTCTGATCTCAGGCCCCAACTCAGCCAGAGTTGGTGGTAGTGCCTTGTTCCACTCGGTGTCTACTACCAAGTGTTGGAACTCCATTGTATATTTAGCAACAACCTGGCATCCCTGCCACAATCCCTGAAGTGCAGCTTCGGCCACATACTCATGACTCGGGTCATCAAAGACCTCTGCCATAGCTCAAATGAAGTCTTCAAACAGCCCTAGAATGGGCTTGATTCTTCCAGGAGTGGAGACGCCCGAGACAGGGCCTTCCCAGTAAGGAGGCTGATATTAATCCCACTCGGGCTTGATCAGTGGGGTACAACTGTGGATGTAGTTGAAACAGGAGCCAACACTGATATAAGAACCCAGGAAATTTGTTGCAATCACCGTTGAACTTGCCAGGTGAGGGGAAGCTTGGGCTTGCAGGGAGCAGGGATCGCAGCTGATGGCAGCATGGCTTGAGCTTGCAGAACCACATTTTGTACTTGCAGGGAGGCAACCTGGGTTTGCAAGATCTGTAGGGCTCCCAGGTATCTCTGTCAGAGAGATATTGGCCTTTGTAGAATCCATGTTCACCGTATCAGCTCTAGTTCTCTTACTGTTGGGGTTGGAGTTGCTCAAACTGTCATGTGACTGGGACAGTGGTAGTCATGCCCAGTAGTTACAGCAGAAGTCAGACGCCAGGAATTGGAGCCCAGAGTCAGAACCAGAGTCAAAGGCCAGCTCTGACCCATGGCTCTGGCATGTGGAGTCCAAAATGAGGAATCGGAACTGTGGGTAAAAGACGGTTACTCACCGTTGTAACTGTTGTTCTTCGAGATGTGTTGCTCATATCCATTCCAATTAGGTGTGCGCGCGCCGCGTGCACGATCGTCGGAGAATTTTCTACCCTAGCAACACCCGGTGGGTCGGCTGTGGAGCCCCCTGGAGTGGCGCCTTCATGGCGCTGGATATATACCCCAGCCGACCCAGCGCCCCCTCAGTTCCTTCTTGCCGGTTACTCCGACAGTGGGGAAGGGGGGCGGGTTTGGAATGGATAGGAGCAACACATCTCGAAGAACAACAGTTACAACGGTGAGTAACCGTCTTTTCTTCTTTGAATGCTTGCTCATATCGATTCCAATTAGGTGACTCCCAAGCCCCACCTAGGTGGCGGGGTCGGAGTGAGACATTGCTGTGTGCAGAACCGCTGACCCAAAAGCAGCATCGTCTCTGGATTGTTGCACCAGCGCATAGTGAGCAGCAAATGTGTGGACCGATGACCAAACTGCAGCTCTACAAATGTCCTGGATCGGGACTTGAGCCAGGAAGGCAGTCGAGGAGGCCTGTGCCCTCGTGGAATGAGCGGTAAGGCGTGGCGTCGGTACACCGGCCAGGTCGTAACAAGCACGAATACAGGACGTGATCCAGGAGGACAGGCACTGTGAAGAGACCGGTAAGCCTTTCATCCGGTCGGCCACCGCAATGAAGAGTTGCGTCGTCTTCCTAAATGGCCTTGTACGGTCAATATAGAAGGCCAGGGCCCTGCGTACGTCCAAAGAATGCAAACGCTGGTCTTGACGAGTAGCGTGTGGTTTCGGATGGAAGGCCGGGAGAAATATATCCTGGTTCACGTGGAAAGGTGAAACCACCTTGGGAAGAAAGGCAGGGTGGGGGCGAAGCTGCACCTTGTCCTTATGGAACACAGTGTATGGGGGCTCGGACGTAAGCGCTCTGAGTTCAGAAACGCGCCGTGCTGAGGTGATGGCTACAAGGAAGGCTGTCTTCCAGGATAGGTACAGGAGGGAACAGGTAGCCAATGGTT